AACCCGCCTAACTCCCCAGGAAAACGCCGAGGACCCCACCACTGAAGATGAGCACGAAGATGATAACTGAAGTTATCACCCCAAACCCCTTTTTCCTCTCCACTGCTGCAAAGCACAGGAGCAGGTTGATGCCTTCTGCAGGGACACAGAGACTTTATGACAGCTCTGAAGTCATTCAGCTGACTTCAAATAACTGCCCGTGCACTGAAAACGGACCCGCTCGCCCCAGCTGGGAGCTGAACAGAAGCGATTTTACCAGCACACGTTTTGGATAACGGCTGGGCCAGCCCAGGGGGGGGGGAATTCCCCCCACATAGGGCCCAAAGCGTTTGCTGGGGGCTTCACCGGGCTTAACCCACCTCCTGCAGCACCACGTTGCCCTGGCACCGCTCAGGAATGCGAAATTATTGAGGTGCAGGCCCTGAAGGAGGGGATAAAAAAAAAAAAACACAAACCCAACCAATCCCACACAACATTACGAGGGCTAATTAGGGCTTGTGCGTTCGCAGATGTTCCACTGGTTTAACTTGAACCGGGTTGCGTGCCCAAACGTGGGGCTACAGACAGGATTAAGGCTGATTTAAGGTTGCCTACACCCAGCGTTGCACCGGTGCCACGCTGTGCTCCCAGGACAACCGCAGCCTTTCACACGCTACAGGGGCGTTCCAAGCAACATTTTTCTCCCGGTTGCTTCTAAAAAAAAAAAAAAAAAAAAAAGGGTGAGGATCGGGTCCGCCTGGGCGAAAGGGCGGGGATTTGGGCTCGACCCTCTGCAGCTCACTGAGCGGGGTGTGGGGGGGTGTACCCACCCCTCCCAAGGGTTGTTGTCACCCAGGGGGACAAGTTACCCTCGGGGGAGGTCAGAGGACGATGCCCCAGCACACCCCGGCTCCTGGTGATGAGCCACAGTTGGCCCTGAGGAACCCCAAAATCGCAGTCGTCCCTGAGGAACCCCAATTTTTTTCTCCATTCACGGTGTTCCGGAGATTTGCCCAGAGTGGGGAGGGCTTTGTGCATGAGGGTACCCTCGCTTCTTGGGGTACGCACACTGCCCTGGCGGGGGGGGAAGTCCCCGCTGCTTGGGGGTGCTTGTACCTCACTGCTGTGCTGGGGGGTGCGTGCACAGGGGGACCCCACCCTGCTTAGGGGTGCACACATGCTGCTGGGGGGGTCCTCACACTGCCTGGGGGTGTATACACCGGTAATACCGGGGGGGGGCGGAGGGTGGAGGATCCCCCACACTGCCCTGAGTTGCACACCCGGTGCTGCCAGAGGGGGGGCGTACTGCCTGGGGGGTCCCCACAATACCCAAGGGGGGTGTCCTTGTGCTGCTTGGGGGTGCATCCACCGGTACTGCCGGGGGGGTGGGGATCCCCACTCCACCCGGGGGTGCATGCCCGGTGCTGCCGAGGGGGGGGGGCCAAACCCATGGCGCTGCCTCCCGTCCCCCTTAAGCAGCCGACGGGGCGGGCCGCCACCTTAAGAGAGCCCCTCCCCCGGCC